ATTCACTCACTAAGACCAGACTCAGTGCATTCTGGCTTCGAAATAATACCCAAAGGTACGCGTCTACTGCCACCTAGTCCCAAAATGTTCACGATTCCCTGTATTGAATGAATCTTTAACTGAGATCAGTGGTCCGTGGTCCAACCTGAATCAATTAGAATCCATACAAACCAATTCTTGAGAATATTAGCCGGATAACCACTTTTTCACTGACGTCTCTTCTGGCCATTCTCCTACTAACGTACTGAGATAAATATGTACAGCCGACACTAATGTGGTGAATTGATTTAAATTTGCCACCTACAGTTAAGTGGATAACCACCACCCTAGTGAAACTGACATTGATGGTGATATCAATGATAAAAAGCATGAAATCTTACACGTGTTTATGCGAGCTCCGTCGTCAGTCATTGTGAATGTGAGGGTGGAAAGTATATGAATGATTGTGTGTATGTGAGTATGTATGTATATATGGATGTATGTGGGGGAAAAAGAGGAAGAGGAGGTGAAACTGGCCAGTCGACTGACACAAATGGCCCTGTTGTGGATGTCCATGTGAGATATAGGAGTATATTAGTTAGAATATATGATGACATCAGAGTTTGCACCTTGTTCTTCTCATCGTAGGGAATCACATGAGGCTTGATTTATGCGCACTTGGACGAGAGGCTCATCCAGAAAGAGAAGTGTCTTGTGGAGTGATTGAGTTCAAGTCAGAAGCGAGAGGCAATGTATCAGCACTCTGTCGTAACTTTGGGATCATTTCTAAATATTTGATAAAATAGGTTGTTTATATTTGGGGAGTGGGTTACTCCTCAATTTAACCTGTTCTGCCAATAATGGTAATTTTCATCATAGTTTTCTGCTGATTTTTGGAGTCTTATACGTTAATTGGAAATCCCTGTGGGTTATTTCTTATCTACTCTGACGTGTAACTTGCTGATGTTTTGATTTGTCTAATTGATCGACGCATGGCTATTATTGTTATTTCTAAGGATTACATCAAATAATTCTTGAAGCTGTTAGTTTGTTGCCTTATTTTCTACAATTTTCGCAGCTTCTTTATCTGTTTCGTAAAACAACTGAATGCTTATTTTATTTTATGAACCTTTACATGTGCTCTTGTGAAATTATTTTGTGTACAGTATGAATCGCGTTCATTTCTTGACTGAACATTTTCACAGAATCTTTTCTATATCTCGGAATATTATTTGGTGTTTTACTGTGCGTTTTACGATTAGTTAAATAGTATTTTCCTTTTTTGTCTTTCTTCCGTTTTCTTTCTTCAAATGCTTTGTTTTGGTCTTTTGTTACTTAATTTTTTCAGTTTTGTATATTTTGCTGAATTCTCGTTTTTAATATCTTTCTTTATTTATTTGGTGTTTTCTTGTTCAGGTGTTCCACCTTTTATTATATCTTCTGTGTCTCAACATTTGACTTCAACAGCATATTTTTCAAAGTATTTCTTTATTTGTGTTTCACCCCTTTGAATGATGCGTAATCATTTCACCATTTATTTCAGTAAGTAATGCATATATATTTCAGTCTATTTAGCGTACAGCATGAATGCCTGAAACGTAAGGAAGAATGGCTATAGGTATTTTAGCAGTCAACATCGAACGAATATGTAACCTTTTGATGGGCATTCCTTTGCTTAATGCGGAGATTTGGACTGTCGATATTCAAATATTTGCTTGAATATTTGCACATCTGTGATTATAATCACCTGTTACCTCAACAATGCTCATAGTCTTATAGACACATGGAAACTGCATTGTAATATCGTATCTCATCACAGGTTTTCAACCATTAGTCTAGTCTTCCTCAGCAAATCTAACTATTAGAAATCATAAAAAACAAAATAATGGAATATTTTTATGTCATTGCAGAAATCGTCAGGAATGAAAAATTGATTGGTGAAGAAAGCTGCGCTCGTTAATTCGCCAAGAAATGTAATCTACGCGAAAAACCAGACAAAAGCTGGAAATATATCATAAAATGTATATCGAGACTTCTGAATTCTAAGAACTCCTGCTGTCTGGATATCTCTTGTTTCAAGTGATGAGGACATGTACACTTTATTTGTGATCTTTCATTTAATAACTGAGCGATTTTTAGTGATAACTAAGCTCTGTCCTCCCTGGCTTTGCACGTCATCTGGCAATGAGGATTTCATTTGACTGAAGTCGCTTGTGAGCCGAATAGATCTATTTATTTTCTCATTTTCATTGTTTGTGAAATCTTGTATTATTTTGTATCTCAATATCTGTTCGGAATCAGGAACCTGAGAAATCATTCGAAAACACTAACTGAGTTTTCCTCAACATTTTAAAACACTAAATATTATATTCGTGTTTGTCAGTTTAGGAGTATACGTTGAGTGTTGAGTAGGCATGTGTAGTTATCGAGGTCAAATAGAATTGTGATAAAGTCAGCGTATTTGACGATGTCGTTCCATGAGTAATAAAACCATCTTTACTGCAGCATTTAAGGAATTTGTCCTAATGGGAATATTGTTTTGTAAAATCATCTTTGTTTGAAGAACTGGATTATCACTGTAACAACAGAATGTCAGAGGAAATCACAATAGATTTCGTACACTCACTGCTTGCTGGAACACTCTAAATATGATCCCATTAGAAGGTTTATGTACTCAATAATATGAATATTATTGAATTATCAGTCACATGGAAACCAGAATTATGTGTATTACCAATAAAGATATATGTAGATTGACAATTTTATTTCCACTCGTATCAAAACCTCACCCTCATCTAATCGATGTTCACCTCCGTTTTCAGATAAAACAAGACACCTACATTTCAAGTTCTACTGCCTCAAAGGCATTTGTAATATAACATTCTTCGATATGATCACTACTGTAAAACAATAAAGTTAAACGTTTAGGATACACGTTCACCAGGAGGAAAGAAAAACTATAAGCGTTGAGGCAAAGGACAACATAAAAATATTATAAACCAGTGATGCAGTTGAGGATTGAACAGAAACAATTAGATAGTCACGTTTCGAATATCCTAGTGAATAAAGAACTTTTCAGTAGATTGTCCAGGTGGTAGACTTAGATGAATTTTTCTTCTCTGTGAAAGCGGTCATAAGTTCTTGAAATTATCTCATTAGAGGTTTAATGCTAAAGCAACTTGAGGTAGTCGTGATACGCCTTGTTTGTTGGTTATCCTGAAAGACTCTGACATAAAGATATAATCTTCTGTGTCAATCAGCTGTCAGTCTGCAACGCTGTTACACGCCGTCGAGTCTGTCAGAAGGAAACTGTTGAGTACTTGTTCAGTGTTGCTCAAAAAGTAGCCATAGACTGTCGTTGAGAAACTGTGCTTTCTTTTCAGTAGGTTTAAATGCAGTTTGTGTATACTCACCTCAGAATTTCATATAAACAATACAATGTGTGCGCTATTGATGTCGAATTGATATGTTTCTTTGAAATATATATCTACTTAGAAAGTAGATATTATCCGGTCACCACATACTGAGCATTGAATTTTCCATGTGATCGTAACAGATAAGGAAGTTCGAGGTCTGTAGTGAACAAAAATCTGTTACAATTCAAATCTACGATTACCAGTTTTTGATCGAACAGTTCCAAAATACTTGGGCACCAAGTAGGAAGTAGTCTTATGTAAAATTTAAATTCATAAAATGTCAGCGAGATTGAAATAAACAGTTCCCCAATTTCTTTCGACAAACTGCTGGTGAGTTTCTAAGAGATATTATCGGAAATCAGAATAACAAAGATGTTTCAAAACCTTGTCCCGCCATATGACTAAGGGCCAGACATCAAAAGCTTGAGCAGGCATGAACTTAGCTTTTGTATGAGAAGTCTTGACAAATCAATAATTAATCGATATTTATCATCAATTCATCAATATTTAATCTGAATTGATATAAGTGTAAGTCTTGGGCGCTGTGGTAGAGCATAACTCCATTATGGACAAGATTTTATTTTGATAGATCACACAGTGTTGTACAGTGATATTGACTGTACAGTACAACATTGTGTGGCTTATCAGAATAAAATCTTATCCATAATGGAACTTAATCTGAATTCCCTGACTTCTTTTACCTACCTATAGAAAGGCTAACACGTGAATCACAACTGTTACCTCATGTACACAAACGCAAACCACTGCATACTATGTGTGCAAACATTATTTTATTCAGTTATCTATCAACATGATCTTAAATCTAACGTAATCACTAAACATCAGATGCAAAAGTGCACAATGTCCGTAGTGTTGAACGGAAAAAGAGTAGAAAAGGAGTAAAAATTGTGAGAAAAAAAAGATTGCTAATTGTAAGTCTGCGGTCAAATTCCCATCACAATTCATGCAATTTTGTTTATGTTTATATTCTGATGTCTCTTTATGACTCAAATGGATGAACAAGTCCTTCAAGCTCAAGACATGTTCTTTTTACACAAGCACTTTTGTTGTTCGAATTTTAAAACATTTTCATTAAAATGTTCGGATCACGACCACATAACACTTTGCACTCCCTTGGCTCACTGTCACAAAAGCTGCCAATAAGCTTTGCTATCAACCTCACATGATATTTGCATCATTTGAAAGCGACTAAATTTTTGTATTTCATTTGCGTTCCATTAGGCAGCTTGATATGAGATGTCACTTATTTCCACCAACATTTATTCAATATTCAGCACCTCGGTGCTTCCGTTGTTTCAAGAGATTCCCTCTCAATAGTCATTTCTGGCTATGGATCTTGCTCCAGTGTTGAGCCAGTTTGGATACGCTTTGATGAAGCAGCCTATCTATGAATACTGCAAAGGTTCTGAAATTCCACTTAATTTAAATTTCTGAACGTGTTACATTCTTTTCTTATATCTAAGACTAAACTGTCGTTAACCTCAAGCCTCTTCGAATACTTTCAATTAGAGCCTAACATCTGCTTGCGGTAAACGGAAACCTGTTCCAATAGCTGTTCCTCTCCTGCATTGTTTTAATAGTAAGATGCTTCCACTTTCTTTAAATGAACTTGAAGACAGCCTAATTTTCAGTGTGTTTATCCGGATTCCGACTAGAGGTAAGCGCATTTTCTAAAATCTGAAGTTGTAGTACCAACTGTTTTATTTTAATTTATTACCCTTTTCATTTTAATTTTGGACTTACGCTCAGGTAATTAAACAAGTTAAGAGGTTTTCAACAAATAGCAAAATATCATGTATTTACTTCAAAAAAATCTGTTTACATTGTGAACGTGTGCATTTCACATACAAAGTTAATTAGTTTCAAGGCCATTAGACTTAACCGAATTGACTTTGTTACTAAAATAAGAACCACTGACAAAACAAATTTTCAAAAAATGGTTAATTAATTTTTGTGCTGTTAAAAAATAAATAAAAGTATGCCATTTGTTGTGTGTTTTTGTTTTCTTTTTAAAAGGATTTGACTTTATTGACGTACTGGAATTTGATTCGTGTCTTACTGACCACAAAAAGTATTTAAATGGATGCAATAAGCATTTTCTTGTGAGGAATGCAGAATATGAAGTCGACAATATTAGTAGCCGTAATTGTTTGCGCTTCCATTGCTGGTGTATATTCTGACTGTAAGTGCTAATTCTTTAAGTTTAAATTTTATAAAACTTATCCGAATAGGTATTGTATATAGCATAGTTTTAGATTTATGCTTTCACAATTTTAAAATTATAATATTATTTCAAACACACATCATATGTTAACGAGCCGATTAACGACCTGTAATTATTGCACCTTATCTTATAGATGTATTATTAATTGAATGCAGAATTGCTCAGACAGTTTGACTTCATTAGAGGAAAAATTATGAACGACATCACTCAACATTCCATTGGCTTTAAAAATTCTGTTCTTGCAAACGTTGTAAACCATTGTAGATTATGTAAGACGTAAGTACTCTTGAATTGAATGTTAATTAGGTCTCTTCGAATGAATATCACGCAGACGTAACAGGAGATATTGCAGCCCAAAATCTCAGTTTAGCTACTTATAAATAAGACTTGCGAGAAGATATTTTTTATCCTGAAATCTCTTCATGCTGAACATCAATGATCCCTTTGAAATTCGGGATAGAATTAGCGAAATTTCGAATTATTAATTGGCGGATTAACTGATAAGATTTCTGAATTTGCCATTGACTTTAAGCAATATTACTCAGGGCAGCATAATATTTTCAAAGAATTATCCTTCAAAATGGTTTACATGAATTCCATTTCCAGAATTCATTCATAATATCACTCACATAACTTCTAATGGTGAAAACATCTTTTTTTGGTGAACAGAATTATACAGAACAAAAGCATGTAAGCACCAATAAGTGTTCCTTAATTATTTATCGGTTTTGCTCACTATGTCTTAATTAAGTTGAATTTAATCATAAAACTACAGTACATTTACTTCATAATCAGACAATAAGCACCATTTGTTTTAATTTAAAACTCTTGTAATAACACCAATTTCAAACTCTTTTTCTCCAGACTTCATTTTCCTAATTAATCTGCTAAAGTAGTTGTAATTCTAAGGTGAATATATCCTAGTGTCCCTAATAATTTGGTAGTTGAATTAGGAGTAGGTATTCTCTGTGGACTGTTTGACTATTTAAATTATTTCGAACTAAAAATGCTCTCAGAAAATCGCTGTTTCTAGAAGTCATTAAAGTTCTTCAAATAGCCTACCTAGTGGTGAATACATCAGCAAATAATAGTGATACAAATATAGTCGCGTAATTAGCCGGCGTTTTGGTAAAGATTCTCAATCAGAAGAAATTTATTGATTGAAATTTTTGTTTGTTGCATCAAGCAGAGACCATTTGCTGTTTGTTATTCATAACTTATCTCAGTGCTAAGAAGTGAACAATTTGAAGAAAGTTATAATTGGAATATCAGTCAGAAGTCGCTTCATAGTTGTATACTTAACCGACATGGCATCGGTATGAGCTTTTTTTGTCGTTCACCTTTATCGACAAGTGCAAGTAGTTCGTAGCTTTCAGCATATTATGCAAATGACTTAGTATTCTTAAATACACCTCTGGTGGAGTGCCTTTTGAAACGAGTGACATTTCAAGGAAAGTTATCACATTCGGGACGTTTAAATTGTCATTTATGCTGACATTTTTAAGTTTGATGGGCATATACTTTTCGAAAAGCTCACACGACCGACTTCTACATTAACGATAAGTCATCTTCTATCAACTTCATTTACAAGTTTTCGAAGACGAAATACAGTGTGAATAATGACATTTTGACGACGAGATATCGCAGTAGTGTAAACTGTCGTCATTTACTTTCCCAAACCACTTTGTTAATATCCGTTCGATCTCATGCAATAATTCCAGAATATTTCATCGTTTCCAGATTTATTGAATTTCGCCGTGTGGCTTTTACAATGAACAAATTCGTAATAAGTTGCGTCCTATCACACTCTGAAGATGTGTCATATGTCATGTTATTCAATCAATTTATTGCCTTTAAATTGTTAAATATTTCTAATATATAACTCTTCTTAGGTGAAGTCGGAAGTAAGCGTAAAAACAAATATGAAAACTGTGTATATATTAAAAAAAACTGATTATTAGTACTAAGTAAGAATATGATGTTTCGTGCCGGAACTCGACTGTATGTTCTGATAAAATTTCAAAATGCATAATTCCCAAACTCTTGAGGATTTGAATTATGTCGAACTAATGTGAAGCATAATGCACTTGGCAAGTCGGGTTTATAAATTCCTCTATCTAGTCAATTTACGGAACCTGCTGTTATAATTAGAATTCCCAATAACCACTACACAAAACAACAAAAATGAGTGAATATTTCTGTTTTAATGGCAATTAGGAATCGTACTTTCTGAGGTCGCATGCGATTGGATCGCCTTCTAGGCTGATATTCCTTCTTGTTCTTTTATCACCATATCCACTGGAGGTAGCCATAGATATACCAAGTAGAAGATCCAAGACTATGTCAGGTTTTCAGGACATCTTGTAGCTCCGTTTTAACTGGTTTTTGTGTTTCATCTAACTTTTATTTCTCACTTCCACTTCATAAATTACTGTGACACGTGTAACCACAATCCGACCTTCAATCCATTTTGCCTCTTCTTCAATGATAAATTTAAGCACCAACATACTTTTTCCACATATACCTCATTTGAAAATGCAGGTATTTAAAATGTGAAAAACGATCAGGTTTTATTAGCGCTCAGTAGGAGCTTTCTAATTTTGAAATGAGACGATAGAATAGCAGTGGATTTTATTTATTATTGATAACTTGATTATACTTTTGAAGATTCTTTATATCATTAACACTTTTATTGTTTTATTCAAACAGTTCATTGTTTTCAAATAGTTAACACGTACTAATATATAACTCTTCTTAGTCTTACATGCAAGTGAGCATAAAAAGAAATATGAAAATTGTGTATATATATTACTATTATTATTGTATCCTTTAGTTCCTAGAGGAACATAGGGCTTCAGCTGCGCACCTCCATTGACTTCGGTTTTCTGACAACTTTTTCACCCTGCTCCAGGTCTGTCCACATGATTTCATCTCCTCCTCGCATGACCTCCTCCAAGTCACTCTTGGACGACCAACTCGCCGCCTCCCTTTCGGCCTGGTTTCACTCGAGCAATGGCTTGTCTAGTGATTTCACTTGATGGTTTCCTTAGTGTATGGCCAATCCATCTCCATTTCTTCCTGCTTATTTGTTGCACAATCGGTTCCTCATTGGTTCGCTCCCAGAGATCCCTGTTGCTGATCTTTTCTGGCCATCTGATCTTGAGTATTGAGCGGAGACAGTTGTTAATGAAGGTTTGAAGTTTGTTTGAGATGCTCTTTATGACTCGCCAAGTCTCTGATCCGTATAGTAGCACTGACTTCACATTGGAGTTGAAAATCCGGATCTTATTTTTGATGCTGAGTGCTGTTGACCTCCACACAGATTTGAGAGTAATGAAAGCTTGTCTTGCTTTTCCGATTCTGGCTTTGATGTCCTCGTCAGTTCCGCCTGTAGTTGAGACGATGCTTCCCAGGTAGGTGAAGGAGGTTGTTGCTTTCAGGTTCTTCCCATTTATGCTTATATATATAAAAAAACTAATTATTAGTACTTAGTAAGAATATGCTGTTTCGAGTCGGAATTCGACTGTATGATCTCAGAAAATTTCAAAATGCTTAATTCCCAAGTTCTTGAGGATTTGAATTATGTCAAACTAATGTGAAGCATAACGCACTTGGCAATAATAATACAGATTTGCTTTATTCCAAAACAGTACTTGTGATACAGAATGGAATTCTCAGCAATCCATTTTGCCTCATCTCCGTTGATAAATTCAAGCACCAACATACTATTTCCACATATACCTCATATGACAAAGCAGGTATTTAAAATGTGAAAAACGATCAGGTTTTATAAGCGCTCAGTAGGAGCTTTCTAAATTTGAAATGAGACGATAGAATGGCAGTGTAGTTATTTTATTATTGATAAGTAGGTAGTACTTTTAAAAAGTTTTTATATCATTAACACTTTTATTGAATCATGAGGAATAAATTTCAAGGGAGATTATTTTTTCACAGAGGATGACGGTAAGCACACAGCTTTTTCTGCACGAAAAATTTCATGATGCTTTCAGAAACGTATGACATAGCAATTAGTATCTCATTGTCAAATAAACATGCAGATGTCTCTGAGAAATTAACTCAAATAAGCATATGAAGGTTAAGTTGAATGTTCGTACAGTGAATGAAATTTTCCTGGAGATATTCCTCATCACTTTATTGCCTCAGATGAGAAATTCAGGAAACGTCGAAATAAAAACTTCCTTGTCAAGAAGATGGTATTTTTATAACTGTGAATTCCGTAGTTGTTCTGTCTTATTAAGCAAGCGATTAACAGAACAATGCTAAATTTGTGAAATACGTAGACACCTAACCTTGATAATCGTGATGCCATTTGTAAAAAATATCTTTCAGAACCATATGATCATTCATAACAACCCATTGAAATGCTTGAAATGATGGGTTATAATACTGAGGAGCAATTTTAATTCGCTTTCTGTATAATAGTTGTGGATTAGTCACTGGTGTAAAAGTTGCTGGTCTATCTTTTCATTGTACGCTAAGATTTTGACTCAATGAGTTCAATCATTTCTACCTTTTGGGAATAATAATTGTACCTCAGTGATGTTAATTGTTCTACTGAAACAGTAAGCGTGCCGATTGCTAAGTTCACTCATATAGTATATATTCTCAGCACGTAATATAGCTGTATTCAGTTTAACGTCAAACAATTCAAAAAGAAGGAACTGTTTACTTTTAAGCTTCAGAGTGTAAGCCTAATGGCTGACTAGTCATGGTATACAAAGCACATAAACATTGATAACACTGATACACTATAGGTACTTTGTGTGTCATTTCACAACAATGAAAAACAAGCAACAATTTTCAACTCATTTTATCTGAGTAAGTCGTTAGGAGTAGGTAAATCATAGGTGAAAATACATTACAGTAATGCTGCTTCAACGAATACAATTTCGCAAATGCATTTCGTTTGAATATGCTGTGCATTTAGTGATAATAAA